GAAATAGATATTTAAATTTGCAATATTTTAGATCAATATATTTCGCATGGCTTGAATATAGTTATGTCTGTTTTAATATTCTAGTTATTATTAAAATTTCAAATTATTTCGTCATAATAAAACATTATCATTTATTTAAACTAGTTCCATATATAGTAACTAAACTTGAACAATTAAACTTAATAACAGTTAATAAATCCATGTGAATTTTAACAACTAAAGAATCACATCATCACCCAAGAATGCTACTAGAAACTCCAACCCCTACGCAAATACTGCAAAATACCATATCTCGGCATAACTTTGGAGACTTTTTTTAAATAGAAAAAGTACATAAAAATAAAGTTAAATGAACTTAAGGTAAAGAGTAGAAAAATGAGTTTGCTTTTCAGACAAAGATCAAAGCTATTATATAGTATTAAATATTATATAATATATAGTCTGTGCCACCCAATGTAATGCCAACATTATCCAATGGCTTCAAAAAAAAAATCTCGATGTCAATATTCATCGAGTCTTTCAACAGTTGTTGAAAAAAATAAAGCAGAAGTGGAAGAAGCATTTCGAAAAACATTTGAATAATGAATCTAGTAGGCCCCTCGATACTACAGGTCTACTTCGTCGACTTCATTGAAGCCACATAATCTAATTGTCAATCAACTTCCGCAATATATGATGGCTCAAATTTTGAAACATTAATTCAAATCATTATACTTTTAGAATACAACTGCATTTCTTTAGAGGTTTGAAAACTCTGGTATTTTAATTCAAATATTAAATTTTTTTTTATTATTAGGCTTTGATGAGAGCAGAACCTTCGTCTTTTTCTCAATCTTATAAAATATGAGTGGATTTTATTCTTGCTCTTTGAACCAAATCACTTAAACACTTTTACTCTTTCTTAACTCGAGCTATGTTCAAAACCCCTCTTTACGTCTTGACTGAATTATTGTTTATCACTTCATCAGACTAAGCAATAATTAACCTCAGATCTGCATACCTCACCGAAAAGCCTGCAACTATTCTGAGATTTGATAAGGCGGTGTTGGTAAGTCTGTCAGTTTTCGCAAATAATTTCAAGGTTCTATTCTTTATGTATCTTTTGATGGGATTAATCTTGAGGTCCGAGGGGATGTCATTCGTCCTAATAACTCTTTAATTTGAAAGAATTATTCTAAATGATTTTTTTTAAAGAGTGTCAATCTAATTGATTAGTTTGTTTTAAAAAGTTACTATTAGATAAATGTTAAGCTATTTAATTAATAGTAAATTAAATAATATTACCACTAAGAACGGTTTTCACGCAGAAGTTTATATAAGAAGACTCCACTTTGATGGATTAAGATTAAAATATTTATCAATAAATAATTTGCAAACTCATAAATTCATCTGTTTTTTTTTCTGTTTAATATTTTTGCACAATTTTTTTATTTTTTTATTAAGAGTAAATATTTCAAAATAATAATTGAATAAAGAATAAATTTATAACTAACAATGAATTTCAATTGTTGAACAAAAAACTATAATCGAAAATAATTAAAAAAGCTGAGAAACGTTTTTGTTGAACGAAGCGCACGACAAACTGGCGGACGACACATTTGCGCCGACAAAAACTGAACTGAACTACGATCGGCGACAGATACTCTGCGCTGCAAGAGATCGCAGAGGCAAGAGATGCTGAAATGCTGAGATGCTAAAAATATTTGTAGCACATTGTTGCTTTAATTAAGACGCTGAATTACTTAAAAACTAAATATGTTAATCAAATGTAAATTAGAAATGCGTGCATTTGGCAATTGCTCCAATCGAATCGCGCCATATGGCCACCGCAGTAGATGCAAGTGACCAAATTGTCAACACGCATCCACGGCAATTGGCAGCAATTGCTTCACGACATGAAGCAACGGACGACGTGTGAGTGCAATGTGCCGATGACTCAGTGGCGTGGATACATGAAACGATTTGAATTCTAATGCTAATTCCGATTCAAATTTCAATAAAAATTGAAATTCAGATATAGTTTAATTGTCGAAGTCGTAGTGACTAATCAAATAGGTGAAATAGGCAGTAAGAATAATATCAAAATAGGCACGTCACGATAGTAAATGTAGAGGTAGGGATGGGAGGTGTGTTAGGTTGTAAGGTAGTTGAAAATTTTGAAATAGTTTCACATTAAAATGTTGAGCACAAATAAGAATTTTTATTTTTAAAATACGAATAACAAGAGGATTGTGCTTCTACGATGGACTCAGGTTGGCGGCAATCGAGTAAACAAGCTAAAAATGTGCACAGATACTGCGATACTGCCGTGTTAAGGGTGCTCCCCAAATGTGATTTGCAATTTTAATTTGGCAATTAAATTAGAAATCGCTCAGATGGCCACCGTTCATATTAACGCATCGATAATTGATTAACGGGGGCGTATGTGAGAAATGATAATGGCGTTTATAGTTGCACCCACTTGCAATGAGCCAGAAAATATTTCTGCTATGCGAATGACAAATAGAAATGTGAAATTAATAAACAAAAACAAAATCAACAAAATATGAAGATGAGTTAATTAAGAACAGTTTTTAATTATAAATATAAACAATATATAGCGTATAAATATAACAGACATTATTACATTGTAAATATATAGCGTATGAATATAACAGATATTATTATGTTATAGATATTAACTTAACTTTAGACTTAATGAAATCAAAACTACTATCCAAGGAAAGTAAGCTACGAATGTACAAGACAACAATAAGACCGGTAGCTACATATGGCTCAGAAACATGGACAATGACGAAGGCGGACGAAGAAGCTTTAAAAATTTTTGAAAGAAAAATAGTTCGCCAGAAACTTTTCAAAGACGAACAAATAATGAAATTGAGGAACTGCTTAGAAATGAAAATATAGTGAGATACATTAAGTTATAAATGTTACAATGGGCTACTCATGCCATAACAATGGGGCCGGAGAGAAAGCCGAACAGCATATTCAACGCAAAGCCGATGACAACCAGGCACACAGGTAGGCCAAGAACAAGATGGCATGAGAACGTGTATGGTGATGCAAGAAAGATTGGAGTACTGAACTGGATGAGAGTAGCAGAAGATAGCGACAGATGAAGGCAGATTGTGGGGGAGGCCAATGCTCATACTGGACTGTAGTGCCAAATAAGAAGAAGAAGATATATTAACAATATATTACTACTGTTATTATTTTTATATTGAAGCTAGTAGAGTCAGTGCACTTAAGCACTTTAACTCTGTATTAACTGCGAGGTTTCTTCAAAACCCCTCTCTACGCCTTGACTGGATTATTGTTTACATCACCGTCTACATCAAAACTAGTGACAGAGTGTGCAGAACACGCTTAAACAAAGCAAGTATGGTTCTTTGTGTAAGATTCCGTATTCATGATCTATGGGTGCTGGGACATGTTGACCAAAGCAACCATATATGGATGTTATCATATATAGTTCCTAATCAAGTTGGTACAGAAGACAATGAAAAGGTATTCAAACTGCCAAGAAAACTACCTGTGGATGCTACACTTTCCAGACCATGTTGGTATTGAAAATAATGAAAAGGCAAGCAAACTAGTAATGAAAGGCGTAAGACTAAAAACTTTTTATTAATCGCAGACAGAATAGTATTTCCATACTTACTAGAAAAGAAAGAAACCAAAAAAGCACTATGTTGATAAAACTTACCGATTTTGTTACACTTTAAAACGACTTAAACAGAGATCTAACATAAAATCAAAGTCTATTAAAAACTGTTCTCACTTAAGAAGTTAAGAATTGAAATAACAATTCCAACAGATCATTGTAGATTAAACTATGTATAATATCATCTAAATAAATTGGAAATGGTAACTATTTGAATTTGCAGATAAGCCGATAATGGTGTCTAGAAAAGTGATAACGCATATTTAGCAGAATTGTAGAAGACTCATCGATTATTAACTGTTACAATCATTAAACTAATGGTTTGAATCTCTACAGCCAGGAATTAAAATTATATCAAAAAGTTGGATATAGACGGAAGCAGATAAAAGGTGTGTTTTATCACGATAATTCCAAACCACACACATCTTTGAAAACTCGAGACATTTTAAGATACTTCCAAAATGTTCACGGTATGGAAAATTTTTTAACAACGCCAGATAATCATTTATTTCAATCTCTGCAATATTCTTTAACTTTAGACCATTATAGATCATTATAATATCGAAAATAAATAGGTAATATATAATAAAAATGATTTTCCATTAATTTTTTTCTTTATTTTGACTATAAAAGCAACAAAAATTTTTCCCTATCTACTAAATAAGTTGAAGTAATGTATATAAAATATGTCTTTATATATAGATTAAATGATTTGACTCCTATTTCGAAGTTTTCTACAATAATTAAAAGTAAATATATATAAATTCCATATATAAATCTACTCTTTGTCTGTACTCATCAGCAAATCGTCTCTCATGAACTCTTCTAGTTTAGTCTAAAAGTTTTGATTGCCTGCTCCGAGTGAGATTTTATTCAGTAAAAAAAAAACTATTTACTACCCAAACATAGACCATAATAAAATTCTAAAAAATTACTTATACATATATAATAATATACAATACAATATATATATAAACATTGTATATAAAATAACATATTGTATATAATAGTTCTATTTAGATATTTTGGTGTGTTTATCTGATTCGCCTTGTAGCAAATTACTCATCGCATATGCGACACATTGAAATACTAAAAAATGTCGCCAATAAACTTAAATCTAGCGAGACTGCATGTCTTCTCGTAGAGCAGTGACTACCAGGAATTTGCATGCGATTCTTTTGAAATCAAAATCTATTCAAATCCTAACATCTGTGCAAAGTGTTAAGTTGAAAATTAAGAAAAACACATCTTACTTTGAAATAATAGATAAGATATTTTGTTAAACAGTTTTTCGTAAGAAATCAACAGAACGTGTTGATTCACAGAATTACATTTAATTTGATAGATCATTAATGAAAAACATAATAAATGCTATTATTTTTCTGTGAAAATATTACAAGAAACGTGAACTACTATATTTGAGAAGGTGAAAATAAAATATATTTAAAGATTATAACTATAATGAAGTTTCTTCAAAATGAGATATATGTGATAATATATAGTTCTTTAGTTTCATAAATTGTTTATTATCTATAGTCACTACAATATCGTAACTATAATACAAGAAATAAATTTGAACAAAGCCACTATCAAAATCACAGCTAAATGAAGTGAGTTATGAAACAAGGTTCGAGAAGCGGCTCTTTATAACAAGTAAGTGTCACTTATTCCCCCTAACAACAATAATATTAGCAGTTCTCTGGGTTATGACAGTGTTAATAAGCTATGAAACAAAATAACTTAAATGATCTTGTAAAGCACTACTAAATACTACGTCCAAAGGTTTTAAACGATTTTACTATAAACCTTTTCAAAGTCAGCGCAAAATTTAAAGTATGTACTAATAGTGAATAGACTTAACATCTATTAGGTGCCAACACAGATATTGAAATTAATAAAAAAAATTATAAAAATACTGAAAAGTTAGATATAACTCTCAACTGGTATAATTAAAAAATGTATAATCTCTTAAAGGGGCTAACAGAGATCTATATCACAAAAAAGTAGGAGCAGCAGACATAGTATAAAAAATCTCTAATTACTTATAATATAGGAAGGATCAGTCAGTATTAACAGAGATATATAACACAAAATAGTGAGAAAAAAACTAATCATTCGACTCGCATAAATTTTAAATAATAATTTTTAATTCTAAACTATAACCAATATGCCAATTTCTAAAAGGAAAATGTGTATTTCGTATAATAATTAAGGATCGTAATAGTTATTATTAAAAATATAAAAATCAACTACTGAGTCTTATTATTCGCACTTTAAAATAAAATTCAAAAAACAATTATTAAATTTACTTTATATTTTATTTTTCAAAAATAATTATTATTATGTGTCTTTTGCTTTCTCACGCACAAATAACTCATACACACTGCATTTTATTTTCAAACCGACAAATAATTATTATTTTCACTTTATAATAATTTGTTACCGGGCTAATTGGTCAAATTTAAATATAAATAAAAAGACACTGATTTATTATTTATATTTAAAAATCGTTTATACTTTATTTCCGATATTTTCACTTTAAGAATAACTATTATTTTTAAAAACAAAATATAATTGACACGTTGGGCGTTTTATTTTTAAAAACTGAAAAATAAAATGTTTTTCTGTGTGTTGTACTTGTTTTTTTAATTTCATACAAAATGTATGCCAGGGCTTGTAGAGGTAAAAGTTAGGTTAGGCTAGATTATACTGGCGATCCCAAGGGATACATTTAGGCGCATTGTGTTACCGTATTACTAAAAACTCAGGGGTTAGAACCACTTAAAACTTTTAGCAAAGTTTAAAATGCTATTTTAGAGGAGGTCTTGCAGTTCGCCTAGTTTCTCAAAAAAGAAAGCCCCAGAAACACAGAAACACAGCAGATGGGAGGCACTTTCATAGTCCTCTCCACAACTGCGGCAAAAATGATTAAAAAGGAGATTTGAACTTCTAATATGGTTACTTTAAATGCAGTGACCTATAAGTAAGCTTACTACAGAACTGATATATCTACAGGGGTTCTCAATGAGAGAGTTGGATTTCCTTTTATTGGAGCATGACTAAAGTGCATACAGATGCCTGCATATTGTTGAGTCTTCCCATCGTTTGTTAAAAAGTTCAACAAATCAGGTAAAGAGTTGATTTTGTTTTCTGTTAAGATGAAAAGTACAGTCCTACTGTCTATATATCTTTCTGGAATTGCACATACAGTAATCTCAGAATATTGTATATTGAACTTAAAAAGACTAACATTATGGGGATTTATAAATTAGTAATTTGTTATTTGTGAATATTGTAGTATTTCTAAATTAGCAACATATGTATGTATAGCTATGTTCACACTATTGTAATTAACTCGATAAGTGCAATTTTTTTATACAAAATTCATATAAAAGTAAAGTATTGAGGTTCAATAAGTAAAGGGTATACATTTTTTTGTTATATGCATTTAAAATTTCACTTACCACATGAATTGTTACTATTATTGCTACTTAGATCCCAAGCATGCTGTAACATTATATATAAAAATTAATTATTTTCGTTAAAAAAAAAACATATTCTTAATAACCTACCGGATCTATTTCCAGTGAAAGTGGTGGCATAGGTACACTTGCCGACTGTGTCATGTCATTACGAATTGTTTCAAACCGTTTAGCGCTTGCTGCTGATGGAGTCAAATTAAATACATCCGCTGAGTCGTTTATATCATAAGTTGTGGTCTCTGGTTCTTCTTTTATAACATCCCAACGTGTTGTTGTAATGGACGGTGTTGCCATATTTGCATGCTGATTAAATAATTCTACGGTTGCGGCGACATTAGTAGGTGTCGAAGCAGATGAAGAATTTGAATGGCTAGTGGTATTGGTGGGTGTTACTTGGGTAGAAGAATTATTGTTGCTTGATGAGGTATAAATGCTAAAATCTAAAGGTGTATTATCATCACAGTCATCGGTGTCTGCGTAACTATCTGTGCGAAATATCTATTCAATAATAGATATATATAAATAAATGTTGAAAAAATTTAAAAATACAATTGTTAACAGACTTGTTGATCTTTAAATTCATATTCCAAAGGCTCGTCGGCTCCGCTATATGAAGTTGATAGAAATGACATTTCGCTAACAACATTTTGCATAGAAGGACGATGATCTGGTTTTGTTTTCCAACAAGAAGCCATTAGATTTTGTATAATTGATGGCCAGTCTTTATTGATTTCCGGACGTTCACCTTTAAAGAAAAAATACAAGAGAATATATGAGTATGGATATAAATCATTTACCATAAGAAGAATAAATATATACCTTTGTGTATTTTCCACATTATAGTGAGGGAGTTATCAATTTCACTAAAGGGTTGTTTCCTTGACAGAACCTCCCATAAAACAATGCCCCAACTAAATGTATCACATTTTTCAGTATATTTGGAACCTTCAAAAACCTGTAAGTATATAAATTTCATAAGTAAAAGAGAAATTATTGTAATTTTAAAGTAATTTTTAACCAATAATTTTAACGCTATTGAATAATTGTGAAAATTAAGAAGTTAGTGTATCAGTTAACGGTTAGCGATGAAAACAGATTCCTTTCCAAAAATACTTCTAAAAGTTTGAAATTAAGTTTTAAGTAGGTTCTAAAATTGTTTAAAGTATCTTAATGCTTTTCAGATTGGGAGAGGAGAGTTGTCTTAATATGAGATTATGTGGTATAATAATTGATATAGCTTTGATTTTATTACAGCTGTTAGGTTTAACGACATATTATCTTAAAAAATTGGGTATTGAGTCATTTAAATTAAGTACCATTAAATCCAAAATAATCTAGAGAGAAGTTTCGTTATCCATTCAGTAAAAGATTATAATTTAATTCAGAATATTAAGTAAAGATTTTCACAAAAAAGTCCTGGAGCTATAAGTATTTTATAAGTATTATACTATATATAACAGATAATTTTAAGTTTTGATAATCAAATATGAACTCTAGATAAAGAATTTATTATCTGAATCTAAGATTATAATTTTAAGATAATCTCTTTGGATTATTTAAATGTAAAGGACGTTGTAAAGTTTTTATGATTGGTTTTATGATTAATGAAGACGATTGGTTTCTTTAATATGAGATAATGTGTTGTCAGAATGAATCGCACCGTTGAACTAAATTTTAGATACTAAAAGTTCATTTAGCCATATTTAATCCATTAAATTTATTTATACTCACTTCAGGTGCCATCCAAGCGGCGCTGCCCCTGTTATTAGTCATCATAGTTGATTTATCTGCCACTGTACCGAAATCACATATTTTCAAATGTCTACCTTTATCAGTTAATAACAAATTTAAGGGCTTTAAGTCGCGGTGTATCAAAGGATTTGGTTGCATGGCATGTAGATAAGCAACACCCTTAATAAAAATAAAAATAAAATTAATTAAAATTAGTTTAAAGTGTTTAGTTAACATATAATCTTATACAGCTATAATTTATTATTTATTTATATAATACATTATCTAGAATAATCTACAAAGACACAATGCTCTGTCAAAGCATAGTCTAGGCATATGAGATCATAACTATTTATGTTACTATTATATACATTTTTTTACTGTATTATATTATTGTGTGTTTCAAGCAATTTATTTATGTTTATTTTGTAGATTTATCCTACCTTAGCACATTGTAATGCCCAACTGATGGCGTGAGCAGGCTGATAATGTGGTTTAACTTTGCCGTGCAGAAAGTTATACAGGCAACCACCTTCAGCATATTCCATAACTAGGTATTTGGATTGGTTATGAGCAGATATGCCATATAAGCTTATTATATTATCATGACATACTCTGGATAGTTGCTTGACCTGCCAAACAAAAATCAAGTAAGAATATTTTTGTTCTAAATTTATTATTAAAAAACTTGCTTCTCTTTCTATAGCTGTTTGTTCAGCGGTAGCAACAAATTCCTTCACAGCCACATAACGATCACGCCAAACAGCTTTGTACACAACACCGTAGGAACCATGACCACATTTCTATATGGAACGAAATTTAACAATTATATAATTTGTAAACAAAGCTTATATCTGTTAAAACAGTAAACATATCAACTATACCAAAACCAACCTCTTTAATAGCAATTTCTTCAAAATCTATAAAAGGCTGCATAGATAAGTAATCGCCTGAGCACGGCGTGTCTGGCGTTTCGATGTGTCCCGAAGGCATAAAAGGCATTCGAAATGCTTGTACATCACTATTTCTACTTTCTTTTGAGTTTTCCTGGCTAGAATGTGACATTCTCGCAGAACACATTCCCTTTACTTTATTTTTCAAATATTTGCCTTTTTTTGTTAATTTGATTATCTTTTCTGTTTAGAGCCTTTATTGGCTAGCAAATTTGTTGCCTGCTGTGAATATCAAATGTCCACTTTGTTGTTGTACTTGTGTTGCATTTTGTTGAATAAAATTAGTGTACACTATTAGAATTAAACTAATAGAATCTTACTGCGGCGCAATAGTTTATTTAGTAATTATATCTCAATATTTGCGAAATTTATATTTTCACAAAACTTACTGATAAAAATCTGATGTACGCAAATGTCAATATTTTTTTTTGACATTTTGCAATTGTCAGCTGCGCGTAGCGTTGCCAACGATTGACAATAATGGTGCAATGGTTTAATGGTTGGTGTCCGTGATAAGCGGAAGAGAATAAAGAAAATGTGGAAGTCTAAATAAAAATTTCATAAATTAAATAATTTAATGAAATGTTTTTTTAAATAATGTAGGGAACGAGTTATTAATATAAATAGAAACATTTATAGCTACTCTCAATAATCATATAATTATTTTAATATCTGCCTACCATTTTCATTTTGTCAATTGTCTATAATTTAGGGAATTCACCTAATAATTAAATATAACAATAATTCACTTTAATATAATATATAAGCATGTCCTTAGCGTCCATAGAGAAAAGCACAAGCTTAAGAAATCGAGATGATCCTTATGTCCTTAGCGTCCATAGAGAAAAGCATAAGCTTAAGAAATCGAGATGATCTATTCCACTGAGGATCCAATATCTTACTAATCACGTGAGAAAGTTTAACAGGTGCGGTATTGCTATTGAGAATTGATATTATTAAGTTGGGATCTTTACATTCTCCGCCAATTTCCTTGCTTAAGTTTTACTCACTGTGCAAATAACAAAATTGTGAAATCCTACTGTTTAGATACTTTCCAATTTGTGCCATTAAAACCTTCCAAAACATATACTATATACTATATAGTTTACTTTTTTAGAAAAATGAACTGTAAATCCATTCTATCTTCTAGGCATGTGTGGAGACTATATCGGGCGGTATGCCAATCAATATAAGAAAGTCATTTCGAAGAAGAGCAATTGAATAAATGTGGAGTTCATTGCTGAATAAGTTCCAGGTAGGTGCTATTTTTGGTTTATAAACCAGAGCATGTCATAAAAATATATTTCTCGAGGAATTAAAGATTGATTCAGAGATTCAGTTGCAACCTTTATTTATTATCTTATTGCTTTTTTAGTTTATCGACCAAGAATCCAAAGCATATAAGAGTACAGATTTTTCTTAGCATAAAGAATTGGGTGTAACCAGAAAGCGTGGCAGTAAAGTGGTAGTGGATCGTTGCTTTAAAATCGAGAAGCTAATTTAAATTGTTACATAAAACAGTCTGTTCTTATTAATGCCTAAATCTTGTGATCAAAATCTAATGCCTAAATCTTGTGATTGAAATCCAATGCCTAAATCTTGTCATAATACTATAGAGTATGGTCATAATCCCATGGCTCCTAATACGAAAGAATGGGAACATAAAGCTATGAGTCTCTTGTTCATTGTAAAATCAAACTTCGGACATATTTTTAGAAAACCACCGCCCTATATGTCATCGATGTTAAATAGATTAAATGAATATCTATATTTCCAGTGAAAATAGTAATTTTATCGCATAGTTAGGGATATCCATAGTTCTAAGACTTTGCCTTATTTATATTTTGATTATTGTTTAAAATTAAATATGAAAGAGTAAAAAGAATAGTATTAAAATGGTTAAATATCGTTCACTCCTTCTTTGATGCATTATAAATGTAGAATAATTTTTATATAAAATATTTAAACCATCTAAAATATTCATATTGGTTCAACTATATTGACAATCTTGTCTTTTTCATTTCCTATATATTTTGCTCTCT